ACAACAGTAAACACGAGAGGGAGACCTTGCTGGGGGGGGGGTTGGACCTGGGGGGCTGTGCAGGAGATGCCACACACGCACCTCCTGCAGGGGGAACACTGTGCCCTTCTTGGGGGGATGCACCCACTGCAGGCACAGGGAATCCATCTCAGATGGGGGGGGGAGAGGGGTTGCATAGGGCTTTAAAAGCATCTGAGGCAGACCTTCGGCCATCAGTTGTTCTCTTGTCTGTGTGTGTCTCCCCCACTTTAGATGTGCACCAAAATCGGGGAAATCTGAGCACAGCTCTTCACGCTGCAGCAGGGCACTGCTTGCTTCTCGTTTGCTGCACCCCAATTTTTTCCCTTGCAGAGCACGAACCATTCAGCTCCTTTAGCAAACAGTGGCCCCTTGGACACATCCCATACTAAGCACCAATAGCTGGCCTGGAAGAGGTTAGCACCAAACAGTACCTTGCTAAAGCCCTGAGCCCTACACTGTGCCCCCCTCACCCTGCTGGACACTGCTGTGGTGAGCCCAAGGAAGCCAACACATTCCCAGCCCTATCCTGAGCCCTGGGCAGCACACTGACCCAGCCCTGGACTTCTCACTGAGCAACACAGCCAAGTTCCCAAGTGAACACACTGCCTTTTCCAACGGGAGCCCCAGGCTCTACCATGTAATCTCTCAAGCTCTGCTGACAGCAAGGCTGGGACGCAGCACTGCACAGTGCTGGTGTTTCCCAGGGCTGCGTTTGCACCGTGTCCACCTGCAGTGCCAGGGACAGCTTTGGGCACAGCAGCAGCTCCGAATGCCACTTATGCACAGAGACAGGAGGGCATTTCTTGAGGCTCAGAGATAGGAAAGTCATTCCTCGCTACAAACACACACAGATGCACACACGTCTTTGTTCAAAACAGCACTTTGGAAGGAAATTCTGGAGCTGGGTGGCAAAGGCAGTGCCCAGCAGAAGATGCCAGCCCAGCTCTCTGAACAGCAGCTCTGCCTATGCATTACAGGCTGCAGTGTGGGAAGAACAGACTGGGATGGATGGAACTCAGGACAAAGTGGCAATGCACAGACAGACGGACCTTTCCTTGACAGCAGCAGCGGTAACAGCCTGTGGGAAGAAGAGGGGGCAATGCTCTCGGTCCCCAAAAGTGCACACAGCTGGAGAAGAAGAGATGCTTTCACAACGTATTGAGATAAATCAGGACTTCATACCATAGCCCTTACTCATGTGGGTTCGCCCCACTGAGCTCAGTGAGGTGGGACACGTATGGCTGCAGAAAAATGGACCTCGCTGAGGTGCTCAATCCATTCTCCCATCTGCTCCTCTGCAGGGACCTGGTGCCCTGTGACCTCCAAAACACACGTGTGGCAAGGCACACCTCCAGCCCTGCAACACCAGCAGCTCACCCAGTATCCTGGGCTGCCCCATGCACCCTCAGCACAGCAGTGGGGCCGGGGGGGAAGTGAGGAAAGAGGCTCGGGATGCCCATGGGGCTTTTTTCCCTCCCATGTCTGTGGTCCAGCTGTGCTCCCCAGCTCACAGCTGTCATCCCTCAGGGATGAGCAGCTCCATCCTTGCTCCCAAGGTGCATCCCGACATGATGCAGCCACGGTCCCTATCCCGAGCCCTGCATGCTCACCTCTGCACCCCCGGGCACAGCCCAGGCTTTCAGCCTCACCATTTTTAAAACACTTCTAGGAAAAATAAGGTCCGGATACCCCCCTGGGGGGCAGCACGCAGAGTCCCTCCGCTCTGTCCATTCAGAGGAGCACGGCTCTCCTAGGAGCAGCCGCCACACAAACGTCATCCGACAGACCACGAATCT